ACTTTAATTGATTGTTTACAAATTTTATTCTTTAAACAAATTTTGTTAATTAGTATATAGCATTATGAATTTTTATTTGATTTGACAATTATGGAAGAGTCAAATAAAGTATTTTATAAACTCCTCACTATTTATTAATTTACTAAAGTTTAATTTTACTGATTTGGTGTTATAGTGTAGGAAAAGAAAATTATTAATTTTATAAATATTATGAAAAAAAATACTGTCAAGAAAGAAATCAATAAAGAATAAAAAATTGGAAAATAGTATTTAAAAGGTGACGTACATAGTGCTATTTTTTTATTTTTATTGAAGTAGATAGTATTTTTGTCAAATTAGCTATATATAATAATATATTTATAATTTTTTCAGCAAATACTTTTTTATAACCATTATGCAAAACGGTAATAAAATAAAAATTTATAAAATATAGTATGTAAAGAATACTTAAACCCTGTATACAAAGTGTATTTTATAAATTCCCTTACCTATATCATCCATGTCAACGACGAAGACGAAGACGAAGACGAAGACGTCAATTGCGATGCTGGAAAAAGCCGAGTGAAGAAAGTGCGGTCTCTCTATGTAACATGGCAGAGAGTAATTTTTACTTCTATCCATATTCGCATCCACACCATTAAGTTATTAGCTGACATATACCCCATCTTGATTTTTTGTTGGAAAGCGAGGGAGTTATATATTGTCGAGTAAATAATAATTTCGGGGCCCATCTTGATTTGAATTGGCTACATAAGCTTCTTGGAACAAGGAAAGGATTGTCCCACGTTTGACTCCCTTTAAAATAAAATAATTTAGTTTTCATATTGATTTTTAGCCCCAGTTTGAGGGTCATTATTTTCTCATTTTGAGAAGAAATTCAATAGTTATTAGACTCCACACAATCGTTATTTTTGACTCGCATCTCACCAAGTCAAGGAAAATTGTAAACCAACTGTCAAAAAAGTCATTTTTACAAGGAAATAATGCCCCTCAAATAGGTTAATTATACATTCATACAATAAAATATTTTATGCGTAAATCTAAAATTTCTCCACTTTTTAACTCTACATTCTTCAAAACGTAATTTTTACATAATAATTTCGATCAAAAAGGGGCCGTACATTGTTTGGATAAAGAGTAATTTCTTCATACGTGTAATGTGTTCATGACTTAAACCACTCGAAGGTCTGAAACAGTATATTACTACCAATAAGCCCAAATTATTAGTTTTCTGGGAAATTGATTTCTAAACTTTTAACTTCACCTAAACCCTCAACATGCTTTAGAACCAATTAGATGCCCAGTACAAAGAATCACTGAGGTTGTCGTAGCAAGAGAGTAAAATACTAACTGAATATTATTTGAGATACAAATAGTGAATATAATCATGAAAATTGTATAATTTTCTATAAGCATAATACTGACAAAATAATATTGTAAGAATTTGAGAAATATTACAATATTAAGAGAATATTATTATACTTTCATATTAACATCAGTAATTAACTTTATCTTGATGCCTAATCTCCAACATACTCAAGATATAGGGATTAGACAACTAGTGAGTCTTTAATCAAGAAGTTACACGTCTTTTTTCATTCGACATATTTTGGAGAATTTCTTGACAAATATATTGCTGAGGCACTACAAACTTGAAAAGTTACACCAATCTATCCCCAAGTAAAAGTTGAATACCAATAGATAGTAGGACCTCCATTGCATGTTTTCCGAAAAAAATAAAAAATAAAATAAAAATAAAAAAAGAGAAGAAAAAATTGTATTTTGTATATAAACAAGACAGTTTTGGATATCCCTCAATCACCTTGTGGCGTATCAACCAATATGAAGAAAACTTGCATTCTGCTCCTTCTCTTATGGCTTCCATTGAGTTTGGCCACATCAAATCAGACCCTCAACAACAGCATAATAACCATGCCTGGCTACCCAGCCATGTGCAGAAACATAACTGTTCCATACCCGTTTGGCATCGGTTTAGGTTCAGGGTGTTCCATTGGATCATGGTTTGACATCAACTGTGACACATATTTCACTCCTCCAAAAGCCTTCATCGGTACAAGTAATATAGAGGTTATTAACATATCAGACACCAAAGTCCGGGTGAAAAACCGAATAGCTTTCAGCTGCTATGATAAGTTTGGTGCTCTAACCCTCCAAAGCCCAGTTTTCTTGAATCTAAACGCCACGCCTTACAGCTTGTCAAATGAAAATGTGTTAACAGTTGTGGGATGTGATGACATGTCCTTAGGATTCATTCAAAGCTACAGAGGTGGATGTATTACAATGTGCTCAGACAGGAGTGAACTGAGTGACGAATATTCTTTGGGAATTGGCTGTTGTTAGACCTCCATTCCCAAGGGTCTAAAAGTCTTTGTTACTTCCCTGGAAACCAATGAAAATCACACAAAGGTCTGGTCTTTTAACCCATGTGGCTATGCCTTTCTTGGAGAGAAGAATAGCTACGTATTTCGCCTTTTTGATCTCTCCAATCCACATTTCGAAGAGAGAATTTTAGAAACTGTGCCACTGGTGGTGGACTGGGTGATCGACAATCAAAATTGTACTGAAGCTCAAAAGTCCAACAATTTTACTTGTCAAGAAAACAGTGTTTGTCTCAATTCTGATTCTGGTTTTGGAGGATACCGCTGCAGTTGCTCTAGTGGATATGTGGGAAATCCATTTCTCAAACCAGGCTGCCAAGGTTGGTTAGAATACTTCATGGATAAACCAAAATGACTTGTAACCCCAATATAGAAATCCATCTGACTTGTCTTCGTTTGTTCAGATATCAATGAATGCGACAGTAATCCCTGCGCTGTAAACGGGATTTGCAGTAATATTCCTGGTAGTTACCACTGTTTTTGCCGGAAAGGTTGCGTTGGTGATGGCAGAAAATCTGGTGTTGGTTGCATTCTCTTGAGTTCTAAATACCTCCCCAGCATTCAACTAAACTACTAGTGTTTACAGGTTATAAACACTCATCATCCCTTGCAAATTTCTTCATCTCGCTTCTTTGCATCTCGTGTTTATTACATTCAGTCAAAATTAGAAGTCTTTGCACCTACTAGGATAAATTGGCATAGGAGAATCAGTGTGAATACCCCCAGGAAAAAAGGAAATATAGCTTTTACTAATTCAAATTTTCTTTTATTAATGTTCATGATAAGCTATAAAAATATGTAGATTGACCAATTTTTTTAAGGTTTAAACCATGTTGCGGAAGCTCTCTCAAAAGGATCTTCAAACAGTGATTTTCCAGGCTCAGTCCAACGTACTTTTCTCTACCAACAACCAATCCAAACGGCTCCAAACCACAACCAATTGATTCACCTTGGCTGCTATTCAATCCTACCCACGTAGGACAAGAAATGATGATGATTTATTGCCACAAAGGCTAAGAGAAGATACCACAAAGGTATACTATGAAAGAATCACCAATTGCACACGTTATACCAGCGTTCTGGACACCTTTTTTCTCACACAAAGGGGGGCAGCCAGGATTCTTTAGTTTCTTCTCTCAAAATCACACAATCATCATATCAAAGAGGTTAGGGTTATATCCATATATATACTCTAGGGTTAGGCTTTAAGTTGGGCTATTAAAGGAGTAAATGGGCCAAGATTCAAGCCATCCATAAGGAATACAATTGGGCCGGGTGTAACTCATAGACTTGGTTGTTGGACTTATTTCATTCATCGGCCTATGTCTATGAAATAATATTAACCCACGTTAACATCATAGCCCGGGATTTATTAGGTATCAAAAACCCAATAAATCTGCAAGCAATCAAAAATACACAGTTAACACTTGCATAATCAAGGTAGCCAATAAAATTAGATCACAGACCTTACCTCGTGTTTCCAACTTGAAACACATACCATACATGCTCCATGTACTCACTGGGGCTAAGGTCAAAAAACATCCAAGTAGGAGCAAATATTTAACAGTAAACAATCAAGAGCAAATACACATGCGATGACGATATACTATAGGATAACGCACACAGATCTTTTCAGAAACACGTTGACATAGAACATAGATTAACACCAAGTCAATCAAACCACGGTCAACCACATATGCAACACATGCATAAATGACCCTAAGAAAAGATCTCACCACACTTATCCTATCCCATTCCGTGTTGCTCACACCTCGAGAACACATATCTCTTCTCATCGCCCACCATACTCACTAAACCAATCACTCAACTCATGTCTAACTGGCAAGTCACAATAGATCCTAAGTCCACGGGATAATCCTTTATCTCCACATCATTTCTCCCATCCTACGTGGATAATGGGTCTCCACCTAACAGAAGTGATATAAGTGCCTCTCTCACACTTCACCTGATCAGGGTTTCTTTCCAGATAAAGGATCCTAGACATTTGATCACATCTCCACTTGTGATCCAAATGTCACACTCTACATCCCTCGGTACAAACCACCATATACCTCTAGGCATCTATACTCCACCTCACCAAAAGACACACAACACACTGCTAATGCATCCTAACCCACTATGCATGCAAGCAATTACACCAAGTAATCCTAATGTCTCAAATTCATACAAATGCACATATCAAACACATTGAAATGTAGCAGATAATCACGCAACAAAATTTAGACAATCACATACATGCAGAAAGGATCACACACAGATGCATATGCAGTAACTAGGTTTATACTTAATAAACCTCACTGGGGTCATAACTCAACCCCTCAACCAAATTCGTCTCACCTCTCATCTTTCCCTTCAGCTTATCTTTCTTTTTGGGATAGTCCCTAATAAAGTATCCAGACTTACCACAACTGTAACACCCCTTACCACTAGACTTGTCTCGTCCCTTGCCCTTTTTCTTACTACTCTCATTACTCGAGTCACTACTCGAATCACTACCGTCTTGAGTTCTACCCAAATTCATTTGCTTAAACTTCATCCTACTCCTCATCAGTTGGCTTCTCGTTGTCAGTGTTGTTCCGAGATTGAGACCATCAATCATATTTTCACGAGCAGCAGCATCTCCGACCAGG